GTTTGTTTGTTTGTTTGTTTGCTTTGGGGTTTTTCCAGACAGGGTTTCTCTGTGGATTTGGAGCTTAATACTATTTTAAAAAAAAAAAAAAGTACAGAATATTTGAACTGTATTCACCAGTGTTTTCCAATCCTGTTTGGCTTACTAGCACAAGCCAGCATTCATTGTGTTCTGAAATATGTGATCCTATGCTACAATTGTCACTCTTCATATATGGGCAATAACTGTCATGGTCTTCATGAAACTTAGAATGTCACCAAACTGGGAAAGGGGTATTTTTATTTATAAGAATACCTAGAAAAAAATGTTAGGAAACTTTCCTTTTTAATTCCAGTTCACAACTCCATTGAAGGATGTGTAAATCAAATCATATAAGAAGGAAGGATAGGCTAAGATGGTAGCTTTAAGGGAATTTTGGCCATTGGGAAGTGAATTGTTATCTGTGCTCACTAGTGTCTTTCAGTGAATTTTTACTTTGTTGTCTAAAGAACTCTTTAGCCCAACATGGAAATTTTAATTTTTTAAGATCTGAGCCTATAATCAACAGTTCAAGCCCCTGTTTGTTGAAGAGGTTCCAAATTCTTGGACTAATTAATGCTAGTGATGAGTCTTCAGTTATATTTGACTAAACAACTTCAAGAAACCAAATCATTTTTCAGTGATGTTGATAGGATTTTAACATAAATTCTGGAATTCTATGAAAACATTTTCGTTAAGGACTAGAACAGTGCACTCCTTTCTCGGCATAGTCAGGGGGCTAACTCTGAGTATTGGGGGTTCCTTTTGTCTTTGCTCTTTTTGAAAATCACTTTCTTACATAAAATCAAATATAAAATGTTCCATTATTCAGAATTGTTTGTACCAGATAGAAATGACATTCTGTCATTTTCTGAATCTATTTCGACCTTTAGTCCATTCAGATTCTGTAAATCATTGGCTGATAGACACAGCTCTCCATAAGTTTCCTGCTTCGTAGACTGAGTATATCATGCATATATTTTGGGGTTTTTTTTGTTTTTTTATCATATATATATCAATGCCATCTGACTCGTTGAACTTCCATTACCTTGTTGATGTCTTTTCTGGCAAAATGAATGTTGAATGTCATTTATTCATCATCATCTTAAGCTATTTAAAATAATATACCAAATGATTATCATAGAAGATCCAAGACCTAGTATTTTTTGTAAGAGTTCCTAAAATGACAGTTCTTAAAACTTCATGGGTTCCAAGGGTTGGTGTTTGATCACTGCTTTATTAAAGGAATATGCATGAAAGAGATTGGTGTCTCTCCCTCTATCTCGTTCCCCTTCCAATGCCCCTGCATCCTTCTCTCACCCACCCCACCCCCACTCTGCCTCTTAGCTCAGTCAAAAGGAACTGAAAATTTGATGTTGAATACTTATTTTTTGAAACTAGCAAGAGCTGTGATGGTGACCCTCTAGTCTCACCTACCAGCAGAGCTACCCTGCACGCCAAGCAGGGCTTTGTGATTTTAGGCTGCTTGAACACTATTGTGCTTCAAGTGAGACGGTGTCTCATCAGTTTTTCACTTGTATAGGTCAAAACCTGTCTGAATGAAATAGTCAGTTTGAATCATCATCCCTACTACGTGGCAGTGTAAGCCACTGGTGTTTCACTCTTCTTTAATGATAAGAAATTATGAAAGGCATCACAGAGAATTTTTGCTGTGTTTCTAACTATAATGCAATCCATCCAGTCAGTGAAGATGTTTATTGGTGTGTTCTTGACCTGGTAGTGGCCTTTATTTCAAATTATCTGTGATCCATGTAGCAAAAGTACAGTGACTCTCTTTATAATCCTGTGCTGAGCATATCATCACACAAAACCTCTCTGGCATAAAATATTTATAGAAGAAACTGCATTCAAATACTCAAGGCATATTTTAAATTTAGTTGACAAGTCAATGTCTCGTCTTTTCCCCTACCTGCTCATTTCAACCATGTTTTCTGACCCTTATTACCTAATCTGCAGTACAGCTTTATGCTTCCTGTTGCCCAACCCAGCTAAGCAGCAGAGGCTTGTTCCCTCGGAGAACAGCTGTGAGCTCTCTCTACTGGGCAAGGGTGACAGGAACGGGGCTAGACAGATTGAAAATAATCATGAGACCATCTTCACGTCGCTTGCCTTATGAGTTAGTAAAAGTGTGGATATCACCTTTTGGAACTGGTGATTTTTAGAAATGTCACCCATCTCACAAAATCTTGAATATGCAATTACTCATCATGATACATTACTGCAAATAGGGTTCCCATTTCAAAATGCAGTTTAATGTGAGTGAGTTGTTACTGAAATGTGATTTTTTTTCTGGAAAATAAATGAAAACTATGAAAATAAACTGACCTGTGGACCTTTTATTTCCTGCATCTTAAGAGTATAGCTACATTTTTTGGAAAACATAATTACATAATTAAGGAAGAGGATGGTGGACCCACTGTCTGGCAAAGTCAAGGGCTTTCAAGCGGGACGAATTCAGTTCCATGATTTGACTAGAGACCTGAGCAGGTTACATCATAGTTCTCAATATCCCCGTAAAGATAAAATAAAACGGAATACTGGGGTCTCTGCACTGTCGGGTCTTTAAGCAGATTAAATGAGGTAGTGGCTATTGATCACTGAATCGATCTACCTAGTTGGTAGTAGTCAAGAGCAATTCTTTCCTGCTCTTAGCTTTGTGTAAACAGGATTGGGATGGGCTTGAGGGCTCTTTGAACACTCGGCTGGAATCCGGATGCTCACTTACCACCCTGGTTTCTGTGGACCAGGAGAGGATTCATCAAGGATCGGTTGTAAACTGTACTCTGTGGGTGGCGTCTCTTCATTCAGTGGGTGTCCCCTATGGCAAGGCGGAAATAACCCCAAACAGCTGCACTCCAAACTTCTTAAGCTTCAGCAGTCTGGGAAGAGTCAACAGAGCAAGTGAAGGAGCGCAGCCTGCTCCAGTAACAGCAGAGTTTAAAGCCCCTGTACTCTGTGCGCCCCAGGCGCTTCGTTTAACATCTCAATTTTCAGCTCCTTATTTCTGTAAAGATAGAGCAGCCATTTCGGGGCGTAGTTGTTGCGGCAATGGAATAACTGAACCGCTGCACGGCATCTGTCAGCAACCGGGGGAGGGGGGGATGGGCAGCTTCTAGGTTTTCATGTCTCAGATATGATGTCCTGGAAAACTTCTGTGTTTCCCACTGGTGCCCCTGACATCCCCAGAGAGAGAAACGCGATGAGGGGCTCTGGGGGCGCATCTTCACAGTCAGATCGTGGCAACCCCACAAGGTGGCGGGTTTGGGAAGGCCCCGGGAGACAGTGACGATGAGATGTCTAAGTCTAGAGCTGCTCCAAGGCCCACCGAGCCGGAGAGGGGCGGCCTGGGCAATGTTTGAGGAAGTCACCTTGGAGACAGCCTGGGTGTCCACCGGAACTGCAAGATCAAGCAAGGACGGAGGCAGCAGACCGTCTTCTGTAGCTCCATTGAAGACGATCCCAGGTCCAGGTGGTCCTGCCTGCCACCCAGTGCACAGCAGGTCAGTGCAGGTGCTTGGAGACAGAGGGTCCAGGAAAGGAGGCTAGGGAGGGAGCAGCTTATGTGGGGAAATGGCCATCTTTGCACCCAGCTAAACAGAACCAGAACAAGTTTGGCCTTCAAAGGGTGATTGATACTCAACTCATCCAGCAAGCGCTGGTCACCAGCGGTCTCCCCTACTCGCTGCACCTTTGAGACTTCTCAATTCCATCTGGAGTCTCTCTAAGGAGGGCGGCGTGCCAGCAAGCAGAGTTGGGAGCAGCTAATTCTCCGGAACTAGAAAGCGTGGAGGCACCCTCATCTTAAGAGTGCAGTTCTTAGTTCTTCTGGAAGGGAAGGATCAGTGGAGTCACGCTTTAAACAGACGTCTATTGGCTAGAGCAAAGCAAATACTCCAAAGAAAGTACAGGCTGCTTAACGGGTAGGAGCAGCGCAGTGGGCTATTTGTAGTGGAATTTAAGGTTTATGAATATTTATGAGGTGGATAGCATATTCATGGTGTAAAGTGCTCGTTTTTTTTTTTTCTTTTTTTTTTTTTCTTTTTTTTTTTTTCTTTTTTTTTTTTTCTCTCCAAAATTACAGTAAACCTGATCCTTTTTTTTTTTTTTTAACGAATTTCTTCCTATGATTTCTAGAAAAGCCCGCCCCCCAAAGAGTGTCAAAACAGCAAGGCCGGGGTCTTGTGTGTACACCTCCATTGGTGTGCATGTGGCTTTGGCTTTTTGAGGGGCAAATAAGGAGAGTTCTGACCATCATGAGACACAACTGCAAAAACGCAGTGCTACCTCTCCTCGGGTTCATTTTTGCGACTGCTTTAGGTCCATGGTTGATCTCATAGCTCTGTTTGTTAAGACTTTTTTTTCAACCGGAGGTTTTACACTGAAGAATGGGGCCAGATTTTACAGCAGACTGGTAGCCTCCACAAATGGGAATCAGGAATCAACTCTCTGTGGAACTCGGTTCTCCCAGTGACACCTCTCCAATCTGTCTACTTCTTCCAAGCACACACCCTCCAACCACATTTCCCTCCACAGCCATAACAGCAAAAATTAACTCGGAAACTTATATCAAGATTAAATGCAGAGCAATAATAAAAACAGTGACTTTCAGTGCAGGACAGCATCTGTCTACAGACACCCATCTTTTCGCAGTGGCTTTCTCTCTATCCATCAGTTAAGCATTTTGACCTCAGAGTAATGTCTGTTTGTATGAATTAGGTACACTATTTCATTTTTTAAAAAAAGTCCTATTCCTAGCTGTATTGGCACAACAAAATAACTACTTACACTACATATTACTACTGCTCTCAGAAAACCTCAGTCCCTGTTTAAAGGGATCACACAAGCAGCTGGGTCCCACACTGGGGAGGGGGGCTGTAACTACAAAAACTAAAAGATTTTCATATCTTTCTTTTCTTTTTCTTCTTCTATTTCTTTTTCTAATTTTTTTCTTAGAGTGTGATATGATGTCAGCCTTGGCTAAAGATAAACAGTTTCCTGCACTGAAGAAAAGAGGGGGTGTGTGTTCCCCAAGTAACCATGAGTTCCGACAGAAGGAAGGTCATTGGCGCTCCAAACAGTGAGTACCTGGATATCTAGCACCTCCAGCTATGAGTAATGTTTACCAAGAGCCAAAACATTTACCTAGGGATGGCAGTGGGTCAGGGGAAGGCAAGCACAATGCTATCTTGGTCTTTGGGGCCATGTGTGAGATGGGAGAGGAAGCTTACATTGATCCTAGCAGTATGTTTACTGCTTTGAAAACTACCTGGCAAAACAAAAACAAAGCCACCTGTTCTCCAGCCCAGCTGCCCTTACAAGTCTCTTAAATTCTCCTCTATATTATAAAACTTCACAGTTTGCACATTTTGTAGTCAGTGTGCACATAAACATAGGAACTATTTAATACAAATTTAGTACTATGTTTTTATTCTTTGTCCATATGCTCTTAAATGGCTATATAATATTTTGTGAATTTGTAATCAGGATCAGTTAATTATTCTCAAACTATTGGACATTTTCAAATTGTTTTCTTTCTTTTGTCACTGTATCATAATTTTCTACTTGGTTCAAAACAGTATAGTTAGTGAGCTCATGGTCATAAATACTCTTCTGGCTCTTTTGTGGCATTTGCATGCCTAAAAAGATGAATCCATCTTTAATATCCCCATGGCATTCTATTTTGACCACTATTGGCAAGGAGATGAAACAAATTAGTTGACATAGCAGTCAATTAACATACGCAATAGACAGGGTTGAGGACACCCCATGTTAACGCCATGGTTGGGAAGCAGGAGCTAGTGTGATTTGCAGAATAGACCATACTTAATTAGCGTTATGGAAATTGAAACTTTTACTGCCAGAGTGATTCAATAATTCCACTTTCAGGCCTGCACGTCTGTAGACTGCAAACACAACCTCCCTCTTTTACTTAGGGAAAGCTGAGTTTAACAGAACATCAACCCCATCCTGAGTAGGAAGAATGCTACTGTGATTAACTCCTGATCTTCAGCTGTACTGGCTGCTAATTCTAAACTATTGCACTTGTTCTCTAATGCTCTCTTTCTGCCTATTAAGGTTAGGGCATGGGTGAATAAACCCAGGGCCTCTTGATTACTAGGTAAGCATTCTACCACTGAGCTACACACCAGCCCTCTTTTTATGTTTTAGTTTTGAGACATGGTTGCTAAGTTGCCCAGAAAGGCCTTGGATTCTCTCTGTTCCCACAGCAGGCTTTAAAATTTTCACTCTCTACTCCATCACCCAAGTTGCTGGTGCTACAGGCCCAAGTCACCAAGCATGTTCTTTTCAAAATATCTTTTAAAATAATTGTCCACCTAAATGCAGCTTACTTGTTTATCAAGACTACTTAAGTAAGAATTTGATAGGATGTCCCCATGGCTTTAAAAAAAGTTCTCTCATTCAAAGACCAAAGTAGCACCCCCACTTCCATTGACCTTTTCCAAAACCAAGTAGAAAGCCATCTAAAAAGACTTATTTATATTTATTTATTTGCGGCAGGGAGCTGGCCATGTATGTGGCCATGGCATGTATGTGGCACTCAAGGGGAAACATTCAGTTTGTAGTTCTCGCCTTCCCTCTGAGTGTTTTGAGATCACACTCAGGTCATCGGACTGTCACTAAGGACCTTTAGCCTCTGAGCTATGTCATAGTCCCTCTTTGCAAACTACAATTCTTAGGATATTGGTGATTCTCCTTCATATGAGTCTTCAGCTGGTAGAAAGGTTATGAAATCTTAGTGGCTATCACATGGAGGCATGATTTGGCATTAACAATGTGTCTGAAAATGATACATCTTTTTCAAAACATTTTTTTTCAAAATTTAAAAGTCAGTATTATAAATCATCTCCTGGAGGGCATTTAGGACCTGAACATTATCTCACTTAATCTCCTACACTGACCCTGCTAGGCCATCCCTATTCTTGCTGTTTTGCTGTGAAATAGCTGAGACTTTCAGGTCAAGTAACTTGTTGCAATGGCAAGGATACGGTCCCAAATTCAGAGTACAGCTCAAGGTGCCACATCCTCCCCATTTCTGCTGGCCCGCTGCCCTCTGGCCACACCCTACTCTCCTTCAGTGCTCTAGCTGGCCCCAACCTCTGTCGACTGGAAACCCACTCCTTGTAAGAAATGTTCTTCTTTCTTCTGCTTTCTTCCTTCCAGCCCCTTCAGGAAGCTCACTAAACGCCCAACCTTGACCACAGCCCTCTTCAAACCAAGACAGAGGCTCTTTCTGTCTCTCATGCTGCTTTCTTCACAGGCCTGTATGTAGTGATATTTTTTTTTAATCTAGCTCCCTTGAAATACTACAAATTTACTTGTCTTTGTAGCAGTATATACACCAAGAAGGAAGGAAAAAATAAATAGAGTGCTGGTAGACCTCTTTGGGGATGTGGTGTAAGATCAGCATGGATTTGCCCTTTCATCTTGAATTTTATGTCTTCAGTCCTCTACATTGTGACTGATGCTTAGCTGTCATCCTGGGAATAATAAATATTTAAATGCCTCCTGTGTTTCGAAAGAAAGATTGAGTGTATTTTCAACATAATCAACTGTTTTTGGAATTGGATCTTTTTTGTTCAAGCTCTATTTTATAATATATTTTCATGTTTCATTAAAGAAAAATGAAGCATCATTTAAGGTGGTGTCTTTGATGCCCAAGCTGCTAATAAAGTCATTAATTATCTGAGTAACTTGTATCAAAAAGGACCCCACTGCACCCAGCAGCAAGATGAAGCCTCTTAAGCTGGGCCCCCTTACCCCACCCCCCTAAAACACATTTTGGCATGTGCCTTTTCCACCCCATCGGGAAATCTGAACTTGGCTTTTCATGCAGACAGTTTATAAGAAGAGAAGTGGTAGCAGCAAACACTTGCAGTGTCCTTATCATCAGTCCCAGTTCTGCTACCAGGAAATTTTGTAACAGGGACTGGCAAGCAATGGCCAAGGGTCAAATAAAATCTGAAACATGGCTGAGTATGGTTTTCCTATCTAGGAGTGCTTATTCCATAGCTGAAATCAAACTTTAAATGAGCACAGTTTTGTGCCATGCAAATATTGGTAGAAATCCAGATTCTGCTGTCCATAAACACAGTTTTTAGAGCATGGCTTGCCTGCTCAGGGCAGTGTTTCCAGTGGCTTTGGGACCACAGCAGCAGAGACAAGCCACAGCAACGGAAAGCTTAAGGTCCACAAACTCCAAAGCTCCCACTTCTTCCAGAAATGACTGTCAATGTCTCCTCTACTGAACAGGTGTGGGCATCACCCCCACTTTCCTATAAAGAAATGGCAGCCCAAGGGGGTTGAGACTCTAAAACCATGGAGTTAACAAATAGAAAAAAAAAAAAAAGACTTCATTAGCCAAATATTTTTTCATTACAGAGAAAGTGGCGATCTGTGTGTAATTTGCATGAATGCCCCTGTCCTTTCTGGTCACCAGAAGCTTGTGTTTCCTACTCATGAGTCCAGGCAGGCATTGACAGTGGTGTTTTACTTGCTGGAGACTCACCCTCTGGCAGACACTGGACAGCAGTTGAACAGATGTTCTCATCTCCTGTCTTTAAAACAGAAACAGAAACCACAAGGTCAAATTTCTTTCTGAGGCTAATGTGGCATGCTATCCAAGCATGTTAGTTCAGAGGCCTGTAGTTCTACTGTGGGTTTGGGTGAAGGTTGGAGACTACAGAGTCTTTCTTTTGCCTCAAACTTAAGTTTCTGTGACTCATGGAACAAAAACAATGTGCACCAATACCATTCTCCACCAGAATGTATTGAAGTTACTGAGCATAGCAGGTCAGCAACACTATACTGACTTCCTTCAGTTATTTACCCAAGAGATAGTGAGCCTTTTGTACATGTCAGCTATTGTGTTACACATTAGGCATAGAAAAGCACCAAAGGGGTAGAGCATAGTGAACTTCATCCTTCCAGCAAACTGAGAGCTACTTGGGAACTCTTTCGTAGCCAGCTAGGTATTTCGGTGAATGATCAAACTGGAAGGCCCTGCCCGCATGGGCCTTGTAGGAACCTGCTTGGGCAGACAGTGGACAAGTAATTTTACATGGAATGAATTTATTTTATGATTCCAACCCATGAGCCCTCACATCAGAAGTGAGGTCAGGCTATCCTTTCTTTCGATCCCTGAGGGGAAACACTAGAAAATAGAAGACCAAATGGGGAGCATGTGTATAGTGCCATTTTCATCAAGCTCAGATACAGCTTAGCCTCAGAGAGACTTGGAAAAGCTGAAATACCATGTTTCCAAGTGAAATACAGTGGCCTCCTGTGCTTCTTTGAGAAACTATGGATTAAATAGAGGAGATTCTATTTTACCCCCAATTTATTTCTATAAATATAAAAATGAAACAATTTTTAAGGCAGGTTAGCCCGTAATTCACTATGTGGACCAGGCTGGCTCAAATTTGCAGTGATTCTCATACCTCTCATACCTCTGCCTCTTTAGCTCTGAGAGAACAGGCATGCATCACCATGGCCTTGGACATTTGAAGGTTTTGGTTCTTGTGTCTGACATTGTTTTGGGAGAAGACTCTCTCACTGTAAGGAGGGAGATGAAGCTGCTCTGGTACTTTGTATCACTTATACAGATGTACTCCAGATGGAAGGCAGAGAACGGAAAACTATAAAGCACATAGAAGAAAGCACAGGAGAGCCTGCCTGTTCCAGAAGTAAGGATGCCTACCCCACACACCACTACCACTGCCACCACACCCTGCGCTTCCTTGAACCCACAATCCTCCATTTCAGCCTCCCTAGCATTTGGATTAACGTTATCCACCACCATGCCCAGTGGAAAGTCATCTTCAATGAGATCCCAACATAAAAACAGAAACATAGGAAAATTAAAATGTTCTTGATAAATAGAACTTCAATATGTAGTATTCTAACAAACTATATAATAATACAGATGATAGTCTGCTTGAGTATATATGTTTATATAGAATAATATAATAACAATAAAAAGGAATCCAGTATTAAACAGAGTCAAAGGATGTGGCAGTGTCCAGAGGAACACCCAAAGGGCACACACAGAGTAGGAAG